GGCTCCATTATATCTGGATCTCTGTTCTGTTCTGTCATATGGTTTCTGCTTGTCTTCCCATTTTGGCTGCCTTTCTGTGCACTAAGCAAAGCTCCTAATTCTCCCAGTCTTATTAGTGCGGATTTGTGAAGTAGGTGTCCAGTGGCACAGTCCTGAGAGGGGTTCAGCTGCAGGCCAAATTTAGCTCAAGCCCATGCTCCTCCTGTTAAGATTCAGCAAGCAATCCACAGATGCTGTGCTTATAGTTGCCTCAAAAGGCCACACCAGAAACCGAGGCCAGCTGCCTCCAGCAGTGTGAGTCTCAGCAAGGCGCATCTGACTCGCTGAGGATACACCTGGATGTGGCCTGGGTGGGGCCTGAGTTGGGGTAGGCGGGGTTTCAGGGAATCCTCTGGGTGGAGCAACCTCTGTTAGCCAGTTTGATGACGTCACAGCTATGGTGGCACTGCGTTCGTTGCACTGGTAGGAGGGAGGGCTCAACAGGGAACAATGGACCTCTGGCAGTTCTGTACCGAGCAAGTCTCGCCTCGGCCCTCACTCTGAAAATGTCTCTCTGTAAATCCCTGGTGCCCCCTGTGCGCAGCCAAACGGGCACTGGTGCTCAGAACAAGCAGGTCTGTCACGGCGAAAATTCCCTTGCAGACGTGGCCCCTTTAAGAGGCTTCTGCAGCTGCTGCTGCCGCAGCTTCCATCTTACTCAGCTGCTCAGGACCGGGCACCCTGCATCCTCACCCTGTCCTACCTTCTGCCATTGCAGGGTGATTTCTTGGACTTCTCCCTAGTTGTATGGCTTGTTCATCTAGATCTCAGGCAATTTTTCCTTGCTGCTGCTCCTTGTTTCTGTCACAACTTTGATTTGGTCACCAGAGGGTTCAACAGAGACTGTATCATTTATGCCATTTTTTTCTGCTCTATAACTTTTGACATTTTAATTGTAATGTATCTTGGTGTAGGTTCTTCTTTGCTTTCATCTTGTTTGAAACTTTCTGGGCTTCCTGGATCTGGATGTCTGTTTCATTCCCTAAGTTAGGAAAGTTTTCAGCCATTGTTTCTTCACATAGAATTCCTGCCCCTTTCTCTCTCTTTTCTTTCTGGGGTTCCTATAATGTGAATGTTGGTATAAGTCCCTTAGTTATCTTCACTTTTTTTCCATTCTTTTTTTTTCTTTTTGCTGCTCTGATTGGGTGAGTTTCACTTCTTGTCTCTGAGTTCACTGATGCTTTCATCTGCTTCATCTAGGCTACTTCTCTAATATATTTTTCAGTTCAGTTATTGTATTCTTCAGCTCTGTGACTTCAATTTGGTACTTTCTTATATTTTCTATCGCTTTGTCGAAGTTCTCATTGTGTTCATCCACTCTCTTCCTGAGTTCAGTGAGCATCTTTATTACTATTACTCTTTATCAGGTAAATTACTTATCTCCATTTCATTAAGGTTTTTACCTGTACTTTTGTTTAGAACATTTTTTGTTTCTTCATTTTGTTTGACTCTCTGCATTGGTTTCTATGCATTTAATGCAACAGCCACTTCTCCAAGTCTTGAAGGAGTGGCCTCGTGTAGAAAACAGATCTTGTTCAACTCTTCTTTAGCTCTTGATTGTCTCTCAAACCTTTTTGATTGTCCGAGCAGCCTATTATATTTTTAATAGCTCCTAGTAGTTGAGGGTATGTCAAGATCTGTCAATATACCAAAAGGCAGGATCTCAGTCAGCACCTAGATTCAGGCTGATTGGAAGCAAGACTCTCAGGCAACAGCTTTTAAAGTATGTAAATATATGCAGTCCTGTGGGACAACAAGTGTAAGCCTCACTGACCACTAGAGCCAGGCAGTATGGAAGTGTCCACTGGACAGCAGTTACAAACATTGGGGCTCCAGACAAGTGTATAAGCTCTTTTTTGGGGGAGATACCAGTGAGCTGTTGCAAGGCAGAGGGAGAACACAAAGATGGCATCCACTGGCAGACATTTCCAGAGAGCAGCTTCATAGGGCCCTAGGTGTGTGCTAAACCTAAAACCTGCCTCCCAGGTCAAAACTCCAAGACAAGCACATATAGACTTTAATGACTTGGACCAAAGAATCTCTTCTGCCAAGTGCTCTCTTGGGTGTTTTTAGAGAAAAAGGTACCTATCCCTCTTTTGGAGTCTGGTTCTACAAGTTCTGCCCTTGCAGAGCAGAAAGGGCTTAGGTGAACCTGAATCCTAGCTATATCCTCTGCCAGCTCTGTGCCTTTTTCTAAGTTACCTAAACTCGAAACCTTGGATTCCTTATCTAGAATAGGCAAATATTACCTACCTCAGATGGATGTTTTGTGAATTAGAAATAGCATATGTGAAGCTCTTAGAATGTCAACTGTAAAACAAATCAACACTTAAAAAAGAGGAGAAGGGGAATATAGTCAATAATATTGTGATAAGTTTACATGATGACATATAATTTCTAGAATTAACAGGGTGATCACTTTTAAGGTGTAAAAATGTTGAATCACTATATTGTACACCTGAAATGAATATAATATTGTATACCAACTATATTCAAATAAAAGAGTTGTCCTGTAAAAAAGAAGAATATGTGAAGCTCTTATCATAGTGCCTGGCATCTAGTAGGTGCTTAAGAAATGCTCATTACTATTTGTCATATAATATTTTCTGTGCTTCTGAAATTTGTGCAAGTATCAAATAAGACCAGTTTATAAACTTCGTAGGAATACCTTGACATAAGAAATAAAAATGTATTCAACTCCATATGAAAAGAAAATCTGTATAAAAAAGAAAAAGTGGAACTTTTAGGGATATGTACATATTTCTTTTCATTTTATTTTTCTTTCTAATAGTATAGAATGCAAACTGATGGGGTCAGTTTCCAGGTTATTTCCTTTTTCTGGTAATCTGTTTCTCTGGGTGAGCTAATTTTAACCCACAAACCCAAACAATGGGGCTTCTCTTGGGCACCAGCCTCTCCCTCATTTGCCTCTCATATTACTTCTCTTTTTTGTTTTCTGCTTTACCTCGAACCCTGACCTGGAATCCTAATTTCATCTTTTGTTTTATGCTCCTTGACATATTAGCTTAATAGGAAGGGCTCAGTTTCTTCCCCACTGACAGATGTTTTCCTAATTTGAATGCTGTTGAAAAACCAGTTCCGTTTCCATGTTCACTAATGTTTATATCTCTTCATGGCTCATGATTCACATCATCTATAACTGCTCCTTAGAGTCCCATCTTGTGACCAGCCTCCAATATAATTCTCAGATTCTCTACTATCGCTTGTGACAATTCTCTTTGGGTCTAGCTTGATGGTTTTGCAAGAATCAATAAAGAGTAGATAAGAATTTAGGTTTACCAGGACCTCATTTGGGAATGCACAAGAATCAGAAATGGAAATTTATTCACTGTATAAGCTGACTTACAGAAGAAAAAAGTGGGGGTGGGACAGAGAGGAATGACATTTTATTATTACTAAGCATTTGTATCTTTCCAATTTGTCATGTTTAGGTATGTACATGCAGCTATCAAAAGGCATGTAAAAATGAACAGTTTTTTTTATTATTTGCAAAAAGCCATAAAAACATTTATACAAGACATTATGAAATTCTAATACCATCATTAGGACCCAGCTTCTTTAGGTTATCAGTGTGGCATCATCACCAAAGGTCATTCTGCAAACAGTCAGGCAAGCAGGATGAGCATATTCCCTTGATTATATAATTGGCACAACAACAACAACAAGAACAACAATAATAATAATTAAAGAAACCTTCTTTCAGCTGGATAACCCTGCATAAATAGGCAACACAGTTAATCAAAATGTAAACATACAGTTTCCTGACACCATATAGCAAAAATAAAACTAGTTGTGACCAGAAGAATTTCTACGTTACCCCACTATAGTGATTCTTACACTTTGTTTCTTTACTGTGTTTTCCCTATGTATTTTTTCCCATTCGTCATCTTCCGTATCCTGGTCAAATATTTCAGGGTATGCTGGTAATTTATCTTTAGGACATTCTTCATAGTAACTCCGAACATATTTTCCCACAAACCACCCTTTGTATTCTTCAGGCATTTTGCATTCCAGGCCATGATAGTGAACGTTGTAGTGGTGCTTTAACCAGTAGTAGAGGTAGTGGATGCTGTAGTCACATCTCCAAGGGTTATCTTTGAGCCACAAGAGTTTCAAAAAATACAAGTCTTCTAATACTCCATAGTCAAAGTTTTGCAGACTGTTGTTTGATAAATCTAACTCTTCTAAGTGTGTGAGTCCTAAAAAGGCAGCTAGAAACAGAAAATATTTATTAAACCAATGAGTAATTGGGTTAAATGCAACTGTAAGGCGTATTATAAGGACAAATATAAATTAAAAATAAGAGACTTAATTCTTCCTGTTGAAAATAAAGGAAAAGATTTCCCTCCCCTCCTTTTTCACAGAGTGCTTAAGAAAACTTGTAATAAGTACTTTCTTCTCTCTTTGAAATGTATACATATCCTTTAAAAGAGTAATGAGGATTTTTGTCAGATTTATGAGCCATAAAGGTCTTTTCTCAAGGAGTTGGGAGCCCTCTCCTTGAAATGTAATCATCAAGAAAGATAGCACTCCTATCTCCCAGTTTTTGTGGGTCAGTAGGAGCCTTGCTCCAAGTCGCAAAACTACTTCTTGTCATAAAGATAGAAGTTTGTTTTATTCTTGACAAAGCCAATTTGCTAACAGAGTTGGTCACCTTAATTATGAGGTAAAGTTATAATGAACTGTGTGCAACAAATGGTGCTGTCAAGTCCTCTTATCTAAGGACTAATTTTCATTTATCTTGAAAACATGTATGCATTGAGTTGTATCTGCTTGGTTATATAAAAGAGTGAGATTTTGTTCTGTCTTTGCACTCTTTAAGCAGATTGCCTGTGATGTGCATCACACTCTGGTTCTATGTTTATTCACTAATAAAAGTTTCTTTCTCTACTACCTTTCTGGAGAAGACTTCTGTGTTGGGAGAAGAAAGCTTTCCCTTTTATTAAATTTACCAGAACACAATATTTTATATGAAAAAAATCAACTTTAAATTAGCTTTCTGAAAGATGTATTTTGGGCTCATGTGCATTTTTTATACTCACTGGAAAGATGCCACAAAAAAAGGTATGAATTAGGAAAATATTTCAAATATAAGATGTGAGTGCATAAAAAATGAAAAATGACAAATGACAGCTCCTTAGGATATCACTAAACTCTGAAAATGCCCAGAAAACAGCCTTTTCCCAGATTAGGAGGAGGGAATTATACTCTTGTAGTATCCAAAAACAAAACAATTTTATCAGCATTTTGAAAACATCTGTCCGTTTTGGCAAACTATGTTAGCTATCAGCTTTGAATTCATATGTATTTAATTCTGCTGGAGGGTGGATAATTAAAATAAATGTCAAACACAACACAAAATAAGACAACGAAAAGCTCTTTTATCCCCTTTTAAGAGTAAAGAAATCTAAATCTAGATTATTCCTATTTCAGTTGACGTGAATCGACCAGGTACTCTAGAATTTATGTCAATCCTAATTTCAAATACTTTGTTCCTATTTCAAACATTTTCTCATTGCTGTTTTAAAATACTCTTGTTGGAACATGGAGTGTCATTTTAAATTTGGAAAATTTGCTCTCATACCAATACCATCAAGCATTTTCATATCATTTGTTCTCAGACAAAACCCATAATTCCCCCTAAAAAGCATTCTTCCTATTTTGGTGCAAAGCAAATAATTGGGGATGCAGGTTGGGGGAGGGCAGGGCCTGGGGAGGAGCAAAAGGTTAGCCCTTGTAATGATAGTTCTGAAGATAATGCATTTTTTCCCCTATTTGCTAACATTCTGTGAGTCAACAATTTACTTTTCTTAAAACAAGTCAGTCCTTCAGATTGAAAGCAAGTGTAAACATTCCTAGATTTTATTTTGAAAGCACTGTAGTTGTTACTTAGACCATATGTATCCAGGCACTTTGGAAAGCTAGTTTTTATTTGCTTTTTAAAGTAGGTAAAACCCCTAACAGGATATCTTCTTTCCCTTTTCTGCAATAATATCTAGCATTTTATGAGACTGTTATTTATACTTTTTAAAGACTGGCAGATCTCACTGCATTTGTATACCTACCAGCATAAGTTGTTGGCAGTGTTTCATCTTAGAGGTCCAGAAATACAGAAGGTCTTTTATTTGAAAACGTCTTTAGGTCATTTTGACTTATTTAAGTGCCGAGATAGTTTTTTGTTCCAGAACATAAACCAAGAAAAGTGGTTGGCATTTGGTAGGTGTTTAATAAATATTCGTTAATGTGGAAAATACTTTCCTGGGACTGAATTGAGCAAAGGAGAAAAAGAATACTACTGCTGATAACAGAGTTTACATTGTGCGTTAGCAAGGAAAACACATTGAATAAACAAGATTAAAAGGCCTTTAAGAAATCCCAAGGATGGAAAAGGAATCCTTACAATTATGAGAATTTAATAACTGTTGAGGGGAAAATACCACTAGAAATAAAACAAGCCCATTTTGCACTATTATCTCTCTGCATTGTCTTTTTTCATTTTTCTCTAGCTTTCTTTACAAAATGTAGTTCTATCATAACTAAAATATTATTGCAGCATTATACACTACTTTTATGTTAGACCTAACATTTAGTCTCTTTAGAAATAACTCTAGAACTTGTTTCCATGGATACTTTTGATAGTTGGTAAGCTAAAGTCAGAAGGAAATCAGGCTCTTGCCCAGAGACCTGCAACACAGCATGTCTTGTGGTTCTTATGGAGCAAGAGAGGGTTCCCACCTCCAGAGGCTTCACCTTGTGGCCTGGCTTTGTGGACTGACTACCAGTGACGCCTGTACACTAATACGGTGATTGCTTCATTTGTGAGAAGGGTGTCTCTGCAGTATTCTTATTCACTGTGAAATGAAAATTGCTTTTGATCTCACAACTTAAAGATATTCCCAAGTTTATACTCTGTGTATAGACCAAGTGTAGCATATTGTCGTTCCCTGGGGAAATTTGTAACATTATGAATTCTTAATATTTTAAAAGATATTCTTAATACTAAAAATATGCCTTTGTAGCTCTAGAACATTAATTTTCAATTTTCACTTCTACAATGTTAAAATCTTAATATTCTATTAATAGTATTAAGTTATCATTAAGAAAAGCTGAAGAAACAATTGTACTCAAAATATAATATTAACATTGCATTATCAATAGTATTACTAATCATTTTTATAGACAGGACTTTTCAAATTGACGTAGCACTGTGAAGGCACCTATATTATGTACGTTACAAATCTGATCAATATTGCAGTAATTCTCAGTTCTTTCTAAATACAGTGGGTTTACTTAACCTACCACTCTCGTTTTTATAGTTTGTCAGAGGCTTTGCTTAGAAAATGAAGAGATTTCAAGGATGAAAAAGAGAACTGATCTTGATCTAGGATTAGATAAAATATGACTGGCTCTGGTTTCAGCACATGTTACCTTAACTTATGAACTTGGTGCTTAGCAGATTTTTCAAATTTAATTTTAAAAAGTTGTTAAAGTCCTACTTTAAACAAGTTGGGACTTAATGGCTAGCAAAGAAAATGCCAAGTCTGAATTTCCTTTTAAAAATCACTACAAGTTTAGCATTTTATTAACCATTAGGCACATATTCTTATTTTTTATTATATTCTATAAAACACTCTTATTTGGACCAATTAAATAACTGTTGCTTACTAATATATAGTATTACATACTTCATAAAGCAATGTTTTGGAGAACATTTCTCTGAGTGCCAAACAAATTTTAATTTAAGCACCATGTTTACTTTGAATTCGCACTTCTTATTATTTAGTTTCTTTAAAATGAAGTTGTATTTACTATAAATGTTGCTGTAGAAAAAAAACAGAGAACATGTTACCAGTTTAAAGGGCTATTCTGTGGAACTTACCAGGGTCTATAAATTCAATACCATTGCTGCTAAGGTTTAATTTCTTTAGCTCATGAACATCTTCAAACTCCTTGGGTCGAAGTTGGTTGATTTTATTGTGCGACAAGTCAAGTTTAACAATATCTGGAGGGATGTTGTTTGGAACTTTCTTCAGCTCTGGAAAAATTAAAATATTCAGGTTATCAAGCTCTCCTCTCACCCTCATTTACTCTATCACTCTTACACCTGTGTGATTGAAGAGTCATCTCGTAAAGATAAAAGGAAAAGGGATATCTAAAGCCAAAGAACATATGTATGAATAAGGCTTAGCATGTGCTAAATTCCGCCAAAGCCTAGTGAACCAAGTGCATTATGCTTAGAGGAGCAACTCCTTGCTCAGCTGTTCAGGGAAACTTCCTAGAGGCAGCTGCAAGAAATCAAGGGGAGAAGAACAGGTAGCACATCTCAGTTGGCTCAGTCATCAGGTGAAGTGGTGGGTTCACTCTTGGCTATCCATTAGAACCACCTGGGAAGCTTTAAAAAAAGAAAGCTAAAATGAAACAAAACAAATCAAACCGTTCTATGTGTGTCCCCTCCCATTCCCTTACCACTCTCTAGGAATTTTCACTATTAATTATTGCCTCTTTGATGCATCTTCATTTTATCCCCCTCCTCAGGCTCATTCTGTCAACAAATAGGCTCAAATCTTTCCACCCTAAAAAACAAACAAAAAGCTCTTGAGCTTGGGGACCCTCGAGCTGTTATCTTATTTCTCCTTTCCTTGGATGTTACAATTCAGGGAAGAGTAGTTTTGGCTTGATGCCTCTGCTTCCTCATCATCTACTGATTCCATGAATCCTTGTTATTTAGTTTGTACTCCATCATTCCCTGGGGGGACAGCCATAACTGAACTCCCCAGGAACAACAAGCATAATAGTGCTACTGCAACTGCTGTTGCTGCTGCTCCTGATATAGGAAAATCCTCTGGAGAGGAATCCAGGTTATTTTTCACAGGTTAATAGGAAATCAAGGTTCACCTAATTTATCTCTTACTATTTATGTTTGTTTTTAAATCCTGCTTTTAAAAAATATGAAGTTTTTATATTTTATATTTTAGCATGATAATTGCCCTTTCTTTTAATCCTTAGCAAAAATATTTTGAAGAGGTTTTATTCCATTTTAAGTAGGGCAAATGAAGCCTATGAAGAGAAACAAACCTGTTCCTACAAAAGAAATTCTTTGAACTAGATACAGTAAAAAAAGTTTTTGGAAGGTGGTCTCCATAATGCCCCTTTCAGTACAGAATAGTTGAATTGCTGACAATTTCTTCTAAATACTAAAAAAAAAACCCCACCTGTTATTTATGATTTCTTAACCCATAGTATATTTACTTTCATAAAGTCTCGAGTTTATTTTTTCCCTACTTTTAACAGCTCAGAATCTATGGTCTTTAATAGGATGGTGTTGGTAGTTTCTTCTTTCGTATCCTTTTTTTTCTCTTAAATTTGCTTTCTCTTATTGATGGGATCTTAGGGTTTAGTATCAATGTGCAGGAACCGTTCTAGGTGCTCTAACAATTATTAAATGACAAGAACTCTATGAGCTAAGTACCATTATTACCCTCATTTTACAGAAGAAGAAACTGAGGCACAGCTTGCCCACAGTCACATTCCTAGGATTTAAACGTAGACATGCTAGCCCCAGAATTTATGCGTCTAACCACCACGCTCTGCTGCACATTCATGGCACTTTTCTGTTTCATTTATGCTCTTGCACCTGCTTAGAATCCTCAAGCTTGGCACATAGGGTCAAATGGGCATTGGGGAGCACCTGGGGTAGAGTCAATTTATTGGGATGGCCATGAGACCTTTTTGGCTCTGTATTTAAAATGACATCTCCCTGCATTCAAGTGGGCAATAACAAGAATAATAATAATACCACTAGCCCCTGCTTTTTCTCAATGGTAGTTATCAATAGCAGACATAGTGTACATTTTACTGATTTTTTTTTCCATTTTTGCCATCTTCTCACCATGGAAACTTCATAAGGGAGGCTTAGGACAATGCCAAATATGTCATAAATAAATAAGTGGTATGTGGTAGACAGCTTTTAAAATGGCACCCAATGATTCACTCCTTTGTGCAAACCTTTCCCCTTGAGTAAGGGCTGAACCTAGTGACTCGTTTCTAACAATGGAATGCAGCAAATGTATGGAATGTCACTTCCATCATTAGGCTACAAGAAATTGTGACTTTTGTCTTACTAGCAGACTCTCTTTTGCTAGCTTCGATGACTCAAGCTGCCATGTTGGAGAGGCTCACATGGCCAGGGATTAAAGATATAGCCTCTGGCCAACAGCCAGCATGGAACTCAGGCCCTCAGTCCAATAGCCCTGAAGGAATTGAATCCTGCCAACACTGATATGAGTTTAGAAGAGAATCCTTTTCCAGTTGAATGTTCAGATGAGACTACTTCCCTGAATGCTGGTCAACATCTTGATTATGAGCCCTGTGAGAGATCCTGAAGCTGAGCCATGTCTGGTTTCTGGACCCACACAAACTGTGAGGTGATAAACTGTGTTGTTTTAAGCCATTAAGTTTTGAGGTAGTTTGTTAGGCAGCAATAGATAACTCCATGGTAAATAATAGGAGTTCATCAAATGTTTATTAAGTTTAATGATTCAGGAATATTGAGGCTGCTTGTAATAACAATGCTTTAAAAATTTTAGTGATCTTATTTCTGTCCTCTGATAAGACATTTTTCTGTTTGACCTAAAGTTGTGTCTGCCAACATACTGAAAGGTGAAAGATTTTAAAACTTGAACTTATTGTAATGTTGCAACAGCGAGATAATCCTCCCTTTAGTATCAACAAGACCCTAACTGGAGAGCTGTATTGTCTCTTGGATACTACATGTAAACAAGGAGATAGAGGTCCTAGTGATAACTGAAAATCAGAGGCAACCAAGGACAGACAAAAGAAATAATACCTTGGCATTTAGCATTTAGAATAATTATTGAGAATGGCTGTGACATCTTCTTAGAGGGCATTTAAAGACAGAATAGAGTTTTATTTCAAAATAGCGAGGATCCCACCTCTTCTCACGTCCTCTGCTGCTACCACATTGGTCCAAGCCACCTTCACCTCTTGTCTGGATTATCCTAATAGTGTCCTAAAACCATGTGATCCTGTTAAAACGTAAATCAGATCACGTCATTTTCCCAGGAGACTTCCCATCCACCAGACGGCAGAATCCTTCACTCTCTTTCCATCTCACTATGAAAAGAAGCCCAAGTCCTCACCAAGGCCCTGTAAAGCCAGTAAGGGTATAGGTCTTCATTATCATCAGGGTCAGCATCTCCTAGATTCTGGAAAGCCACCTGTTTATCAGGACTTACTTGCTGAACCCACATCTGCTAGCCTGGATATGAGGGTAGATGACAGACACCTCCTAAGCAACCACTGTAGGACAAGCTAAAGTGAGTTAACCACAAATAAATGGGTAGAAAAAAATGTTTATGAGAATACCCTGAAACCCAGCTTAAGCAATGTGGCAGACCTATGGAAGCTGGAAAAAAGAACATGAATTGCAGAACCAACTTTGGCATGGTGAGCAGCCGCCCTTGGTAAAAATAAGATTCACAAATAATACCAGGAGATACAAACCAAAGCCTTTACTAGTAGTGTGGCTTAGAAAAACATAGAAAAATCTTATTTGTTGTATTGATGAGTAAAAACAGTTCTTTAATTCTTCTACCTTAAACTTGAATGAGAATTGCAAATACTCATGTAAAGTATGTTTGTTTTTTATAAAGATAATATAAATACAAATTTTCCCAGGCCAGAAGTCAAATTTGGTCAATGTCCCATCTCTAGACCAAGCACCACATCGTTATTTGTTGCTACTCAAAATTCTTGGTAAACCCTTAACAAATATCATATTTATATGATTTTCACCCCTGACAAAACTCGCCCCTCCCCCAACGAAACTTCGTTGATTTTGAGGAGGAAACTAGGAAATTTTCTCCACGTAATTTCCCATTTGGTTGTCAGCACTGTCAGAATTACTATGAAGGCATGGTGGTAGTAGGTAAAGAGACATAAATAGGCCTGTTTATTGCAAATAAAAATTCTTAATTATTGTTCAAACCAGCAGTGAAATTAACTTCAAAGGCAGCTGGGAGCAATTTATGGGCATAATCATCCCCAGCCTTAATCTTAGAGGTAAATAAATCCTTTTTAAAAAATGGTCAATTATTCTGGTAAATGTGAAGCTAAAAAGCAGTTTTAAAACTCCAACTGTCATGTATTTTTGGCAAATCGATTTGCCTCAATATGGCATAAACATACTTTCAACTAGTTTCACATTTATTCCCTTTGAAAGACTAAGTTGTTGGCAAAGTGCCTGTTTCCCTGTGAATAGAGCTATTATTTCTTTTTTCTTGCTGTCAGATGTTTAAGGCAAAAATAGTGATGTTCCCGGTCTATGTGGTCAAATTGTGGTAAAATTCGCACATATTAGGTACCCTATGCACACCATCTGACTCATCATCCATCAGCTGGGAAAGTCACAACTAATGAGTTAGGGGAATATGTATTCAGGTTCCCCATGTGTGATCAGGTGCATGGTGCACAGAGCCTAAGGGAGGGCTCAATACAGGGAGGAAGCATCTAGAAATCTGTTATAAATTCTTGGTTAATAGATGTACCCAGAATCTTGAAGGAAGAGATGACATTGCATGGTGGTCAGTGGCTTGGGAACTGCTTGGGGACTCCCTGTGTGATTTTAGAAGGGCAACTTACTTCACACCTCAGTTTCCTCACTTATAAAATGAGGATAATAGTACTTCTTTTAAAGCTGTGAGGAATAAATGAAATAGTGCATGAAACTGGGCACACCAAACATCTTATTAATATCATTGCTAGTTCTATGCTTGTTGGCATGTTTTAGGCTTCAATCTCAGCTTTGAAGTTTACCTGTGAGACCTCTGTCAAGTGCCTGAACCTCCCTGAGGCTCATTTTCCTCAGCTGTGAATGGGGATCCTACTACCTTCCTGGAAGTTGTGTGTAGAGTAACTGAAACATAGTAGGTTCCCAGTTAAGGAACACTCTTTTAAATTTATAGTATTCCAGAATGGCATTTCCCAGGTTACAATGCTGTAATTGCTCTGTTATGGTTTTAAATTATATACAGTTCACCGGGTGTTGTAATAAGCAAACTTTCCCATGCCACCACGGCTGTGGTGGGACCTAACCAGGTGCCACTTTTCAGAGTCAGAGTGGGGCAAGGTTTGAGCATGACCTTACTCATAAATGAACAAATCTGAATAATGAACAAATTTACTTCTGGCTCATGTCGTCTGCTTCTTCATCATCAACAAATTCCTGCTTATGGTTCCCTTGAGAGGAGCCAGAGCCTCCATGTTCCTCTTAACCTTCCCTTTCTGCTCTTAAAGAAACAAAATGAAGCAAAGCCTCCCAAAATAAGCAGAATGAATGACACTGTACTCTATAGGATCCTAAGTCAATGATATCTGGCCTTAACTTAATATTACAAACAAGTTATTAATCCATGCCCAAAATGAAACATACGGATGTTGTCACATGGCTTGTTATCTTAGGGTTGATTCACAGTCCCAAGGCCACGCTTTGGGAACATCTTCACTAACATGTCAAGAGCATTACCAAAATCTCCTTTTAGTTTTCTTATTTCATGATGTATCCTGTATGTGCAAATCTTGCACAGTACTAGCCCCATATTGTGTGGGATATAAAACCCAGTAATGATTTTCAGGAAGTAGGTAATTAATATTCTGGAAAGATTTCCTTAGTCTCAGAGTTCTTGGATTAAATACTTTTAACTTTGTTTTTTTTTTTCAATATTTTTATGTTTTGAGGACAATTAAGATATAAAATGTTAGTGAGTATTTATTAAAACCTCGAGATTAAATTGTAAGAGCTACAGATACACCATCACTACATCCTGCTTGGCCTCCTCTGACAGTGCTCTCACCTGTCCTTTTCTGCACATCGGTTTCCCTAGGTTATCACGTCCCCATGGACATACACCATTTTGACTTTACTTGCTGTTAAGTCAGGTTACGTAGACGGCATTTGCATTTGTTTTCACACCCACTGGTTTACCTACATAAATTAAGTTACATTTGATTTAAGATTAAAGGAATTCCTGCCCTCTTCTAATGTCTCCTAAATCACCAGTCATTTCAAGTTTGGACTCCAGAAAAGCTTGGATAAATTCCATTGTCACTGGAGAAAGATTTCCAGTGGAAGTTACACCAGAAATTCTAAGACATGGTGGAGTGTAGGGTGGGTTATGAGATCCAAAGAGTATTTTAAATCATCCATGAAAATGAGAAAGTAAGAAACTTACAAACCTTTTCTTTTGCAGTCCAGTGTTTGTATGGGAAACACATAAATGTGGCAAAGAGAAGAGTCCACCTCAGGCTTGATGACAGGGGGTCTCCCTGACACTTGGGGTTTTGGGGCTAATTGGTCTTTTTCTTCTTCGTTACATAACTCTTCAGATTTTATCTGCCGCAGTTTTTTATTTTTTAGTTCTTGTGGGCTTTCGCACTTGGCGTAGTTCCCCAGATTTCGGTTCTTTGGAATGTGCAACATTGAAATGAGTGTTTCCATGTCACAAGTACAGTGCCAGGGGTTGTCATAAAGGCGCAGGTAGCTCAGCAGAGGTGTATAAATAAACACTTCCTCAGTCAAGATTTTTATCTGGTTATGCTGCAGTAAGAGAGTGGTAAGTTTATTTAAACCAAAGAAAGTCTCGCTCTCAATTTTGGAGATCTCATTCTGTTGCAGATCCAAGCTTTTAAGCTTTTTAAACTTGGAAAACATATTGTTTTTCAATATGCGGATCTTGTTTCTTGCTAAAAGCATGTGCAGCAAATCCTGAGGCCAGCCAGGCAGCACATAAACTAGTTTTCTTTCTTGACAATCTAAATATTTTTCATGAAGATACATGTACACTTCGCAGGGAAGGCCTGGTGCGTAGCGTTTGACCAGGTTGGAGCCTCTCCTGCCCCCACCCACCCTGCCATGACCAGCTCGGTTTCTCACACCCCCGGGGCTCGCCTTGCGGAGCTCGGAGGCTTTACAAAACAAGAGCAGGATTATGATGGTTACCACACGCATCCTGACATCCAGCTGGCCCCAAGTGCTTAGTGTGACAGATGCAACAATGAAAGAATTCCTTTGAAATCCAAGCTTGAGTAATCTTAACTAAGATTGCAGATGGAGAACCTGGAGATCCAGCTGAGGTGTGGTGGAGTCCCTAGGTTGCAGGAGAAAAAATATTCAGTTAAGGACCATTGTGAGCAAATAATATTATTGACAGATAATAGCAGCTTTTTTTTTTTTTAAGCAAGGACATTCCAGTTAATATAAAGGCACATACAGAATAGTGGTGTATAGGCTCAGCACCCTTGTACTTGCTTTGTTTAGAGGCTCAATGTTTGGGCCCTGAGTTTGAATCAAGGCTCCCTTTCTTGCTTAACTGTGTGACCTCAGGCTAATTATTGAACTTCATCTTCCGTATCTGTAAAATGGAGCTGAGGATAGATACCTCTAGTATTGTTGAGAGGATGAAACGGACCATGCATCTAAGGTACTTCACAGTGCTTGGTCCAGAGGAAGTACTCCACAGTGTTAGGGCTAACTTAGCATTATGAAAACCGAAACTTGTAGTTTATCATCACATTGGATTCAAGAAATTAATGGGATTCTCCTTACAGCTTTGAGATGTGCAAACGAGAGTAGGACTCCAATGGTTGTCTTCTTGAGCTTATTTTTTTTCTCTCCTTTACAGCCTCCCAATCACAATCATGTTGAATGTGTATTCCAGAAATGCTCAGGGTAAATTGCAACTGCCCTTGTTATCTCTTGTACTCCTTGGCTCAAAGATCACCTTTCAGTGAAACTTCCTCTGACGGCTATATTTGAAGTCACACTCCTTCTTAGCTATTATATTTTTAGAGGAATGTATTTTTTCCTTAGTAAGTATTAATGATGACTTCCAAAATCTGCATGTTTAAAAGAATTGTTTTCATTGTTTTTAATCCTGCAGGTGGTTTTGGTTTGCATTTATTGCTTAGGACATAGTCAATTCTTGGCAGAGGAAGAAATGTCCAAAATGGATTTATAATTAATAACATTTCTGTTGCTATTACCCAGGGCCTATGTGGTTATGAGTGGCAGATGTGTTTTCTATTCAGTGTAGCAGTGTGAATGCTAGAGTCACTCCCTAGCCTGGGGTTTTCCTGCTTGATGAGGTCCCTTCCACCTGGAATACCTCCCCTCTTCTTTGTCTCAAGCATTCCTCCCATGCACTGTTCTGTGTCTCCTCTCCTAATTACTTCTCCTTTGTCTCAGATTGGGGGTCTCACTTCCCCTCGGTCAGGACTCAGAGTGCCAACTGCGTATCACTTTGCCACTCTTTGTCTTCCTTGCAAGATCATAAGCTGTGCAGTTGCCTCTGTCCCAGACATTTTCAAGGCACTTGGCCTTTCTGACCCTCTTGGCCTTTCTGACCCTCCAATCTCTACTTGCAATTCCTTGTAAATTGCATGTAAACCTAACCTAAACATTTTGTCAATTATTATGCTTACTGAATTATTTATGATATGCATGCTGAAGTATTTGGGGGAAAGTATGTTTTGTTTGCAACTTACTTTAAAATGCATTAAAAATGGATTGAAGGATAGAGAGATGGATATACAACTGGAAAAGTTATGAAGCAAATACTATAAGACATAAATTGCAGAATCTAGGTGGTAGGTATATTCATTGCACAATTCTTCAGTTCTCTCAACTTTTTTGTATGTTCGAAAGTTTCCATAATAAAATGTTAAAAAGAAACAAAAAAAATGAACAAAAATTCATGCCACAAAATATCAGGTTGGTTTTCTTCAAGTGCTTTGAGCTAAAAGCTCTAAAATATACTGTTTTTCCCAAAGTAGTATTTTTTTTCCTCTTCTTTCTGTAATCCTCAAACAATAATAAACATGTGTATATATTTTAATTTTAAAGCCAAAAGAAATCTTTTTCTGGGAAAAGAAACCATATACTTAGAATAACTTACTTGCCGAGGTTTTTGTTTGTTTTCTAATGAATACATCACTTTGAATGTAGGATGGAAAAACTTTAAGTTTAAACATTTGTAGTAAGTTGTTTAGTGATGTGTCACTTGTTTGATCTAGGCTTCTGTAAAAATTTGCAAGAGCTGAATCTTTCTGACTGCCCAACACTCACGGTGAGTATAAGAAGCTTCTTTTATTGTTGTTTACATAGATTGGAACTTGCTACGTTGGAGTCCTAATACACAGGGATGTTGCCAAAATACATGCCTGTGTGCTCATTTAGGATTAAATACGGAAAAAAAGCAAACTATGTTTAACATTGGCAAGAAATTTTATCCCATTTATATAGTGCTATTATTAATCCTGTAGATATATGTCCAACGTTGGAGTCTCTGGAAGGTGGAAACTATTCAACAATTACACAAACATGGACAATATTTATATTTAAGGCCATGTGTATAAGACAGAAAAATTGAACCCAGCAGGAACAATAGGCTCATTTACATGGTCTTCACTGTGGTGGTGCCAAAGAAGATAGAAATGAACATGTATCCCTAGCAAGCTTCTTTCTGGTCCCTTGTCATCTACCTCCAATCTGTCTTCAACTCCATGAGCACATTAATACTGTTTCTAAAAGGCAGATCTGGCCATTTCACCTCCATCTTCCATCATATATACATCTGCAGTATTGGATAAAGCCATCTACGCTAGTGAATAGAGTCAAAGCTCTTTGACATTACTGTATTTTGGAGACCCTCTGTGGTCTTGTATATGCCTCCCTTTCCAGCCTCATCTTGGTCCAAATCCTGCATACTCATTAAGTTTCCGCAACCACAAGCTGCTATGATTTCTTTGCTGCATTTGCCAAACTTCTTGCTGTTTCGCCTTTGTTCAAGCAGTGTTCTTTGTTTGGAATACTCTTT